TGAAATACCCCTGAACTGCAATACTCATGTATCAGAAGTTTAAGCCAGTACTGCTCTAAAAGATGATACAAGCTTGAGTAAAGGATCCTCACAAAAGGAAAGAATAAAAAAAAAAAGACATAAGCAGCTCAGACTATCGTTATCGGTGGGCAACGATAACTCATTTTGTTGCTTTGTTGCAAAAGACTAAAGTAATAACAATTTGACCATGGTTCTATCAATTTAAAATGCTCTGCTAGATAAATATTTTTAAGAACTGTACAACAGGCCTTGTATTTAACAATGAATACATTTTGAGCTAATGTGCTGCCAAGCTCCAGCTCTCTTTCTAGCAGCTGAATTCTTGGATAAAATCATTTTGCAGGGTATGAGCAATGCAGTTCTGAAAATAGCATCACTGCAAAATGAAAGATGGCAAGAACCTCTACAACACTGATTTATTTCAATGAAATTTCATTTCTTGATGATCAGTATCTATTTTGAAGCTTTCAGCTGATTTTTAACTAATAAAATGTAAGTCGATTTGCCAATTTTAAGGCTCTGGCATAACAAAGAAAGAAAAAAAGAATAATAAAAACCCATTCATATTTAACCTCAAGATACGTAAAAAGAAAAAAAATGTTTTCTGGATCCGAATAATTTTCATTTAGCAATACCATGTGTGCAGATACACAAAAAGAAGGCACCAATCAACAAGCTGTTTCACACTTGCCTTTAATATGCTTCTACTAGAAAAAAAATGCATTGGAGTGAGACTTTTTTTTTTTCTCCAAGTATCTGTGGTATCTTGTGCAGTGCTCAGTACGCAGCCATGCGCTGCTGAGAAAACACTAAGAGGTGATATAGGGATATTGCACTTCCCTGATTCTAAGTGGTTTATGGCTCTGAATTTCTTTTCTGTTCAGTATTCACATTTACTTCTTATATACCTCAGCTGACTTCTGCCCTGCTCCCCCCCAATAGTGAAGATTATTAGAGTGAAAAAATACAATATTCAAATGAGACAAGGCCCGATATTTCACAATCCATTAAGGTATCTGTCTTTTCTAATTAAGATCGGCTGTAAGTTGACATTCTGCTATTAAAAATCTTATGCTGAAAAGACGTGACTACACATATGTGAGAGGTATAAAAACTCCTAAACATGATGGCAGAAATGTATGAAAAGTGCACATCATAAATACCTCCGGTATTTATTTGGTATTTATGATCTGGTATTCAGAATACATTCGGTCACTGACGGATTTTATATAGAAAGTGATGCTATATCCCAAGCCTGGCTCCCTTCCCATCAGCGGCAGCCCTGCACTTGCCAGGTCCATGCTCAGAAAGCAACACCAAGACTGTCCCAGCTGTGCGAGTCCTAATKCCTAAGTCGTAGGTCCTCAGTTGTCCTAATGACTCCAAAAAACTAAAGACGAATCTCACAAATAAGAAATGGGAAGGCACAGCTTCTTTTTCTAAAAATTCCTTGCTTCTTATGTCTGCACAATACACACATATAACACCTGCAAATATATATATAGACTTGCAAATATACATATATAGCTATGCATATTATATTTATCTTCAGATTTTTTATACCTATTTGTCTCGAATATGGCAGAGAACTTTAGCCTCTATTTTAAAACCCCAAAAAGCATTGATAGGAGGATAAAAGGTAAAGAAATCAAAGAAGTGGAATAAAAAATTAGGAAAGAAACCATGCAGACACTAAGCTATAACTGGAATAATGTCACTGCAGGAACAATGTCATTGATATGTCTTCAGCCCTAAGTTTGACAAAACCAAAATGTCACTGTTTTATTCTTTTATCGCAGTAGCTGGACTCTGGCAGCATCTCTGTATCACATGTTACTCATTATCAAATAAAGTATCGACGCTTCTGTGATATACTATGTCAAAAGAACACTTAGCAACTAGAACATTTTTAAACTTAAAACTGCTTGGTTTGGCGCAATATAAATAACAGTAAAAAGAAAGAAGTCCTATGCTATTTTCGTCACAACTTACAAAAATACACTTACGTAATTGCATTTCTTTCTTAAGTCTAGATAGATACAGATGGTAAGTGTGTGGTTACAAAGAAACAAGCGTGCTATGCTGGTATTTACAGTGACAGGAGCACCATATAAAACAATATCCGCATACAAGTGYAAAATATCTGCAATGCTGCACCTATAATTGAAATATTTGGGGCTGGAATACTAAAAATGAGTATAGTATTCTGTAAAATTCTAAAATATAAGAGATCTCTAATAGCTGATACAGTTAAAATGAAACAGTTTAACTAAACCTCAAACATACATTGATCAGTGGCTAAACATTACAGCTAAAGGTCAAGACATAATTACCACTATATTTAAAAAACCTATTAAGGAAAGGCTTCAACATCGGAAGCAACAAATGTGATTATATCCCCGTTCCAGGCTTTCAGTGAAAGATTAAGGCTTGTACTCCATATACCACACACCTTCACTTGAAATTCTCTGGACATTGCCAGGAAAATATATCAAAACCTTTCTGCCTTGTCAGAGAAGTAAAATCAATCAAATGAATGAGATTCTATCAAACTGGCATTGCTAAACCTTCAGCTTTTTTTTTTTTTTTTTTTTTTTTTAAACTAAAAATATGGCATACTCATATAGTATGTCAATTGTATTAGCAGTGATAAAGAATTCTGAATGTTTTAGGAAAAACTTATGTTAAAAATATTTACTGATGCAGAAGAAACACATGACTGAAGGAAAAGTAATTGTTCACTGATGAGCTGTTGATGAAATCTCAGATTACACAGCCTTAAATACATGTATTTTTTTTTTTTTCCTCTCATAAAATGCGTGGACAATAGTATTGCCTCAAATCAACTTTTCAACTAAATCTTACCAAAGGAAAAATAGACTGAAAACAGTGGGGGAAAGGCAGACAGGTATATAGCATCAACTAACAGTAGTTAATATCCTTTCTCTCTTTTTTTTTTTTTCTTCTTATTTTTAATATTCTTAAAATACAGAATCATTGCCATTAAGGGCACTCCTAGTTGTGTCACTTCCTTCTGTTCTTCCCCACTCGCAATCTACAGCAGGAATCAAAGCACTGCTAACTATCAAGTGTTGAAAGGCAGCCATAAAATTGTTTTCTGTTTCACCTGTTACATCGTTACTTTTTGCAAAGCAGCTTTCCCTTTAGCAACCTGTTGTGCTGTCTCCTAAATGAACTAATTTTTATCTGCACTTTGATTTAATTTCAAAGGGGAAATAYTACTACAAAAGATGGACAGGAACTGTAGATTGGTTCTACAATTTTTCTTTAGGAGAATAACAAGAAAAAGAGAACTAACAGTAATTAGATGGTTTGAAACGCAGAAATGCTAAGTAGTAGTAAACTAGCATAGAACAATATTCTGGATCACTTAGTCATAGATATATCTTAAAATTAGAGATTATAAAACATTGACAATTTTTGTTATCATGACTGAGAGCAAGGTAAATTTGGAATGGAAGTGGCAAGCACGGGCAGGGGGTCAAAGAAATTCTTAAAGAAATTCTATGTAATGATATAGTAAAAAAAAAAAACCTACAGTTCTATTTGAAAGCATAAAGTCTTATTCTAGTGCATTCTACATTCTTTCCCTCTAAAGATTAAATAAACACATAGGGGATAAAGTGTAATTAGTCTGTAGGACAGACTTTCCCTATGTATTTCCAGTCAAATGCAGGTCAAATACATGAAAARCACTGCTTAAATAAGCCCAAGCTTTATATTTTCCCACTCTGGCTTTCGCATGGCACATTATTATAAACTACAACAAAAATACCTTTTAAAGATAATTTTCACTTCACGTCTCCCTTTACTCACTTAGAAGATATTAAGCGGTTATTCTGCACTTATCTTTGCATTCCCTTCTTTCACTTAGCAGCACGAGGAGCCCTTTGAGTCATAACGGCCCCGGTGCTCAGAACTGAATCCAATTATAACAACCCACCAGCAGTACTAATTGGTGAAAATGCACTGCTAGTAATTGCTGTAAACTCATCCTTGTGCACATAATGAACGAGGCAATAAATTCTAGCTAGCGTTAAACAACAGGGAAGACCACCATTAACACTGTTTTTCTTATGCAAAATGCATTAAAGTGAGTCATCCACTTAAAAGTTACCTACTGTTCGTTCTAACCCAGATTCAGGGACTAAAGTGCTTCCAAAAAAAATAAATATATATGGGGACAAAGAGGGCTGGGGGGGAGAAGAAGAAAACACGCTCAACAGCCCATAGTATTTGTTATTAGAGAAAAAAAATATCTAAAGAKGAGTATGAAATGATATTTGGGATTTTTCCTCCTTTTTTGGTTGCATGCCTTTCATTATGTGATCCTTGCACCGCTCTGRGCAACACTTTCATGCTAGGGAGCATGCAGCGCTTTCAAGGTCCCTGTGTGGGCGTCACGAGAAGCCCGGAGCTGCTCCGAGCTGGGAACGTYCCCCGGGCCGGGCCGGCGCAGACCCCGCTCCGGCCTCGGGCGCTGCGGACACGGGGGGCCCCACGCACAGCCCCGAAAAACATTTTTAAAAAATCATTCTGGAAGGGTCAGAGCAGCCGCGGTGGCCACCGAGTGTGTCCGAGGAGCTGGGAGCCGAGACGCGTGTGCCCAACTCCGAGCAACGCTGCCCTGGCTGTTCTGCAGGCAAGAAAATCTTTTATTGTGTTATTCGAAATAAAAATGCCTAAGTTCTTTTTCATTGTTTTTTCTCTCYTTTCTCTTTTCTTTTCCCCAAGGAGTAGCGCTAAAACTCCGGCCAAACTGCGCTGAGGGGGCGGGCTCCGGGGAACTCGAAACTTTCCTCGCGGCTCCGGCCGCGCACGGGGCTCCGCGGGCGCGGAGCGGCTCCCGACACCCGAATTCCTGCCCTGCGTCCCTCGCCGCCGCTTCCCGGGCGGACTTAGTTTATTTCCCGAGGGGAATTTCCACACGCTCGCTCCCCGCCCGCCGCGGAACTTACGTGGTGGCGGAGGGGAAGGGTCCTTCCGAGGAGAGGTTGAGCACGAGCGACTGGAAAAGTGTCAGGCTGAAGACCAGCAGCCAGCCAGCAGCCATCTTCCTGATCGAAGATCGATTCGCACCCACCCCCCTTGTCCCCGAGCCGGCAACGACGACAACAATAATAACGGGGCTAAATTAAATTAGTGCCGGGGGTGGGGGGGCCCCCGGCGGTTTTTAAAGCCTCCCCCCAGCCCACCCCCCACCCCCTTGCAGGCGCAGCGCGGAGCGGAGGAGCGCGCTCGGGGTGGGGAGGAGGAGAAGGGCTGAGGAGGAAGGAGGAGGAACGATGGAGAGCTGGGGGTGGAGAGGGGGAAGCGGAGGACGGGAGAGGAGAGCGAGCGCTCCGCGCTACCCGCGCCGCGGCCCCGGCTCCATCCGCCCCGCCGCCATCAGCGCTACTTTTGTAGCGGGGCCYCCGCGCGCCCGTCCCCGATTTATCCCCCTGCTCGCAGAGTGGAGAGAGGAGGAGGGAGGGGAGGAGGCAGCGGGCGGGGTAGGGGCTCCCGAAGGGAGAGGAGGGAAGAAGAGTTGGCGAAAGGAGGAGCGGCGAGGGGGGAGGTTTCTCCCGGCTTCCCCGCGGGCGCGGGGGCGGCCGCGCTCCCTACAAGGAGCCGCGGAGCCGCCGCGGCTTCGTGCCGCACCTCGGGGCCGCGCGGCCGCTATTTTTAAACGCGCTTCGTGCCTTATTTGAATTCTTCCCCCCCCCCCCCCATCGCTGCCACCCCTCCCCGGCAGCAGCGGCAGCCGCCGCCTCACATCGTGTGCCGCTGTGCACTGCAGGCAGGGAGGCATATATATGCATATAATATATATACATTGTGTTATATATGTTTTTAAAGCCCCACCGCTCCCTTTGGCTTTCACGCGCGKCCGCGGAGGTGCCTCCCCCGCGGGGCCACCCGCGCAGGATCCGCCCCCGCGGGGCCCCCGGGCCCGGCCCCCCCGCGCCTCCAGCCCCGCCGCTATTTCCAGCCTCTTTGGGAAGTGCCCAGGGCAGATTCCTCTCCCAGCGCCTGTGTAATCCGTGGCCGCGTATCCCGGCGCGGGGGCAGCACCGCCTTGTCCGYGTAAAAGGATACGAGCGATCAAGGGGCGCATGTTGTGGTTATTCAGTGAAGCAATTAAAAGTTCGGCTACAGTTCTGACATTCTTTGTGATTTTTGTTTTCCTTTCTGCATTTAAGGTAATTAATCCAACAGGTAGAAAGAAAGGAGCAGACTTCGTCTGCTTCTTGTCTCCCCTCCTGCTGTATTGGAGGGTCTTGAACACGTTAACTCACAGCGAGTTCTGTGACACCCCGAAGTGCTTTCATATCTATTCTAAAGGTGGCAGGAGGACCAAGGCTGAGATCTCACATCCAGATGAGACTGCAGGGTGAGGAGAAACAAGGAGAATGCTGGGCAGGACCGGAGAACTGGAGTGTGCAGAGAAGAGGTGGAGGAAGGTTTTTCATGTGCCAAAGCAGAATATGGAGCAAAAGCACAAAGGTAAGAGGCTGGGAAGGTGAATGAGCAAGGGCTGCCCAGCTCCATGGCAAGGCTATTTTTTATGTTACAGATTAAGGCATCTCCTCTCTCCTGTGGCCCCACAGGACAGTGGGTTAGTATCTAAAGGGGGATCAYTTCAGTTAGAAAAATGACTCTTCCCCAGATTCCTTGGCTTCTGCTTCTTGCAYAGTTCTTAACACCAGTCTGATTTCATGTGTCACCTCCGCTGGAGCTCTCAAAGCAGTCATTCCTCTGCTACTCATGTCCTGGTACCCATCCTGTAGCGGCTCAAGGAAATGCAGAGTGAGGAGTGAGGGCTGCCTATGTTCCTTCTGCCCTTCCCTACCCCAAGGCCACCGCAGTCACTCGGGACCCAGGGACTTGCATGGGGCACCCAGCAGGAGGGAATTGGCACTCAATGTGCAGCAGTGCCCAGAGTCCTGTAAACCATTGGAAATGCAGAGCACAGGGCAACGTAGGAAGAATTTCTTCATCGTTAATATAATTTCCTGTATGCCTGCATATGTGATGCTGCCTTCATCATTTACAGAGCTCCTCGGGGCCATCATTATTACTGATAATAATTTCAGTGACAATAACACGGCACAGCCCTTGGGTGTGGTAGTACCTCATCCAGTCCAGATCATAAGGAYTTCAGCAGTACCAAGACCATGTTATGGTGGCTGAAATATGAAATATTCCATATGAAATATGAAAAGGATGCCAGAGAAAACATTACTATTTTTCATATCAGCAGTGCTCGAAGTACCAAGACTACTGTGCTGAATATTACAACTGTATAACAGGACTCCCAGCAAGGTACCAGTCCTGCAATGAACAGCTCTTAGATGAAAATGCTGGTCTACATGGAGCTCAGTGAAGCTCTGGGGCAAGGAAGATGAGTGAGGAAGAATGTGTGTGCAGCAGCATGGAGGAGAAATGCCCAGGTTAGCTCTAAACAGGCTAACTCAGGTAGGAGAAGCAGCCCAGACTGGAACATAAACATGGATGAGAGCACAGGTTACCTCTGGGGATCTCATGGGAAGGCTCAGGTGTCCGATACACAACCCAAGCTCAGCCTGCAAGCTTTACAAGATTTACAAGTAAGCTTGGACYTGAGCCCAGCTTTGAGAAAACCTGGAGTCAAATAACAGTTTTCCTTCAAAATTGCGTGAAGCTCAGAGCTGACTTTTGAAGTTTGGCATTTATTAGAGTCTGAAACACAGAAAATCAATGCCACCCCGAAGCAGGGAGAAGAAAAGATTACATAAATTCCAGGAATAATACATTACTGAATATTCTCTCACTCCTTACCCCACATATTTATTTATGCTTTTAAAGTGTGTTTATTTACAAGGCAATTAATAAGGTTGCCAAATGTTTACAAACATTGACCTCATCCTGCAAACAGGTATGGGTATGAGTAATTGCACTCAACTGACTTCTCGATAGCTTTGATGGGAAAGCAAGAGTGACCTAATATTTAATATTTGCAAAATTGAATTCTTGGTATTTCCTCATATTCCTGTAGCCCCCCCCCCCCAAAAAAGGCCATTTTCATCATGAAATTTTGAAAAGCCATTAAAACCCTCTAAGTGACCAATTTATTAACATTTGATGATTGCATTCCATATGCATATCATATTTTACAGTATTTTAAATATTTGATTTCTACTTACAATAATGTTGCACTGGTGATATAATTTATCTGTGCTAAGGTTCCTAAAAATCTATTATGGTTGACAAATCTTTTTTAAGTACTTGAATACAGATTTGGATGACAAACCACAGATGTAAATCTTTCTTCATTCTTACTTCACCTCATTCCAAATTTATTGCCCATCATATCAGACTGAGAGGTTTCCAAGAAGGAGCCTTTGACTGACAGGGATTAATATAAATATGGAATCTTAGAAAAAGTTTGCTTTGCAACTACTCAGATTTCTGAGAATCTTCAAATTGATTCTGGTAGTCCTTCATCTGAAATAAAATTTATTATTGAAAAATGTGGCATTTATTTTTCATCAAAGACTTCTTCTAAATTTTATTTATCAGTAATGAGTATGAATTTATGACCAAGCCTTTATCTTTAATCTCTTTTTCTGATTTTTTAAAATATTATCATGCTTTTGATTGGGTCTTTTTTTTTGGACAGAGGAGCGCTATRCTCGCTGAATTAGTGTTAGTGGCCATAAACCTGGTTTTCACCAAGGTAGGTGCACTTAATGTCATTCATTTCAGCCAGAATGTGCTTGCTGAAATAATGCAAATAAAAAAAAAAAACAACATATGACAAGGTCCTAATCAATGCCACCAGAACACCAATACATGGTTTTCTTCATGGCATGTAGTATCATCTTTATGCCTGCGTGTTATGCAGGGCAGGAGGGGGATAAGCAGATGAAATAACYCTTACTCTGTTTAGCCGTGCGCGGGTGACTAGAGAGTGCAGCAGTCTGGTTTCAAATTCTATTTTCAGGGGAAAAAGTAAAAAGAAAAAGAAAAAATTCTTATTGAAATCTGTGCCAGATGGGAGTGCAGGATCTGGCCCACTGCAAGTGAGCTGAATTGTTCTGCATATTTGAATTGGATATCACTTCATATTATTTAAAACTTTATGAGCTACATCCAACTCAGTCAATACTCCAAAAATTAAAAAGAAAAAAAWATAGTTCTCATCCCTATCTTTGTCATTTGCATAAGTGAGCTGAACCCAGCAGCAAAATTTTCCTGCCTGTTCTAACTGTGGTGTTATTTTTTATTCTTAGATTTGAGGAAAAGGTTTAATTTTAGTGATGAGAACACAGAAGTATGAATATGTTAAAACAATAATTATTCTAAGATAGTTTAATACTGAACCTTGGAGCCTAGTTTAAGAAATATTCTCCTTGTGAAGAGGTAAGAAAATTATTTTAAAATGAAGTGCCAAAAATATGAAACTTTCTCCCTTTAAGGAGGCAGCATAATTCAGGGTTTACTGAAATATCACTGATCCAGGTGCCTCTACTGTGTAGCACTAAGTGGAGATAATAGTTTGGTTCTGAAAGGCAGTCTGTGTGTGCTATTATTATTATTATTATGCTTTTGAGTTTGGAAGCAAAATGATCTTTCTCATTCAAACATCACTGCACACTGCCCCACTGAGTAATACAGAAATGTTCATTGTAAATCTCATATATTGATGTTGTGACACCATTCACAGAAAACCATAAATGTCAGTAATCCTGCTGCAGGAAACMCTCAATTATAAATGTTAAAGCACAGTATGTTCGGAGCTTGTAAAGAAATCTAAGTACTGTCTGTATGAATAGCATGTATGTTTTATATAGGGACAGGATTATATGACAAGATATTATTGTACAATCTTGTTTATCTTCCTCTCAGGCCCTAATCTATTTTAACTTGGTTTATTCCATTTCTTCCATTGTCTTTGAACAGGCACTTTTTTTTTTTCCTAACTGAAAGTATAATAAAATATGTATATTTCCCACTTCACCTTCCAAATAATGCATTTTCTTCCCAAATTTTCTCCCAGCCAAGTTTTCATCTCGCATCATTCATCCTTATACCCATGGAAGCTTT